TATTCAAAGGGACGTTCGAAACATGTTTTCAAATGAGACGAATTACTGTTATATTATTGGAAGGTTAGTCAACTCAACACCAGATTCACCTATTTTGAATACCGATGGTAGCATAGCATTTCATTGACAAAAACAAGTTTTCATTGGATAAAAACAAATTTAATGAAGTTCACATAAATTATACGCTGCTGATTGCTCATATCTACCTGTACACTGCAGCAAAACGACAACACTATTATTCATTCTGGAAGTTTGCAGAGATTTTATTGATTTCAGGTCGTATGACAGCATTGGATTGTGAGGTCTCGCTATATCGTGAACTGGCAGAAGCAGGAAAATTGGACCGTTGGATTTCAACTCAGTAGCTCAAGGGTAACATGACCACGGTACCTGAAGGTTCTGGGTTCGATCCCTAGGGGTGCAGAGTCATGTGTGCACACCGCTGAGGAGTCCCATACCAGGAAGAAACAGCTGTCCAACACTCCCAGATTTTTGATGGTTCTCCAACTGATGTCAGTTCGTGTTGAATACCAATACTACTACTATTATTGTTACCAACAGTATTCACATCGAAAATCGTTTACCACATATCGTTTATCCACGTGGAGTTCAGAATGCTCTTCAGATTTGTCAGATAATGCGATGTGTTTTGCGAAAATCCCACATGCAGTATGGCCACTTCTGTTATTAGTATTAAATTTTATTGATGATATTATTCACTGAGAAAAACATGAACGATATAGCGAATACACTTTTAACAGACTACGTGAAACAGATTTCACTCCATGAATACCATTTATTCACGCAATAATTTCCTACTTTAGAACTGTGATCCCTGATCCTTTTTTGCTTTTTGGATAAGAATCGATTTTTTCCACGGTCACTCGCGAACAATATTCACTGGTGTAAAAGCAAAACAGTTAGAAGTTTATGATGCATATCAGCCGAGTCACTCTTTACAAGTGATAGGTTGATAATAGTCAACCCAAGTACTAAGTTCACTAAGATTCAACATCTTAAGAAGGCAACCACACCTGGGGTTAAAATTGTGCAAAAAAGCAAGAATTCAACTTCAACCTCTTTGCTAGTAAAGTCGATGAGTTAACCAAACACAATTAACGTAGAACCTCTCACAGAAGCGCATTGGTTCAAGTTGCCATAATTCACAGCTTTATACATACAACAAGCGAACAAAAAAAGACCAATGTTGTAGGTGACAAAAGTATTTGGGGAGAGACTCGAAAAAACGAAAGTTAACAAAAATGTTCAAATCTCTGAAGATTTAAAAGAGCGAACACATCTGCGTCATTATGACTGGTCTTCAACCATGTCAATCGGAGTCTCCGACCATCGATTCCTGTTATCTAGAAGACAACAACCAGGTAGTCTGCACCCACTTATGCAGTTTGATCAACTGTTAGACAGTTCCTATACCGGTATCGCACCTTGATCTGATCACCCTTAGCCTTTTTTCAACACAGTCCTACTTTGAATAACATTGCACGTCCAGGTAGGTGGTGGCTTGGTATACGCAACGCGTATTCCTATCATCTTAGTCATGAAATTTAACATCAGTGTCGACTGACTTTCCTCACTGACCCAAAACCACTAGGCCTAACCTCGATACTGCTCACTCAGTGATTCCACCACGTGTGAGAAATGCTACTAGAATGCCTATAGTCGAAAACCTCTACTTTGTTTATATCTTCTTTCAATGGCTACGTCTCACATCCGTGTAAGGAAGGAGCAGAGTGAAGTATAGTTTATTCATTCTTTAATAAGCAGTAAGATATGGCACAAATGACTGAAGTGATGCAATTTGGCAAATGCTAAACAGGCTTTCTGCACACGAGGTGAGATTTCGTAATAAGCCAACGCATTTAGGCTGCCGTAGGTCCCCAAGTCGATGAAGTAATCAACGCATCCGATTAATTCACTCCATATTCTTAAATTGGGAAAAACTGCAGGTTAGTCTTGAAGCATTATCTTACATCTGTCAGGTACGAAAAGTATGTCAAACATACTCAGTTTCCTGCTCGAAGCATTCAAAAGACCCTGAATTTTGTCGGTGTCTTCAACTAACAGAGCGATGTTTACTGTGTACTCCAAGTCAACCAAATACCCTCCTATGAGTAATTCAATCCCTGTAGCACCTTAATGATAAAAACCAAAAAGTACTATGATAAGGATGTCAAAAGCTCCAGTCCATATAAAACTTCGGCTGAAGACACGCACTAATTTATATTGCTGGATGATTCAGTTTAATTTCTTGTCCGTTTGGTGAAATATAAAAACTGAAATTTTTCTGGTAATCCGATATTGTGATGAATTAAAGCTGAATACCAAAAGTCAAAGCTGATCAAATTTCAAAGGATGGCTTTCTAGCATGATCCTTATTGCTTATAAAACTTAATATTTTCTTTGACTAGTTTAATAAGCTGAACCAATAAGCCTTTATTGGCATTTTGACTTGCTGGATCGGCGCTTCTATACCAATTTCGCGTATATCTTGACTTTATTCAGTAGTGATTGGAAGTTGGATTCAAGGCATATTTTTCAATCCATCCAGAACTTGTTAGATGATTTTTCGTACATCTGTTATGGCTTTCCAATCAAAACTGGAACCTAAGCCAATTGATCAAACCCTGAGTTTTTACATTAAGCTACTGAACTGTGGCAGCACTCACTCAGTTTAATCTACATGGAAAGTACAGAGAAAGATAAGGCATATGTCCTAGAATTCACCGTTGACTACAAGCAAATGTTATCAAGATCTGATGATGAATCCGTACGTTTCTCCCAAAAAATACTACCCCTCGCCCACATTTTGATATTATGCTGAATATAGTTTAAAACTAATCTGTTCTGATGACTATATGGTTCCAAGTCGACCTATTTTATTGTGCTTAACTAGTGAAACAGTAAGATCCCTTTTGGAGCAGTAAAAAGTGATGAAAAGTATGAAAGGGTAGCTGATAGCGAAATTCTTTTTACCAGTGATCAGAAAGTTTGCAACAAAAGACTGATGCAATTTTAACTGAAAGCTCTTATCAAACAGATAAATAATTATAAACATCCCTTCATAATTGACTTCCTTATCATAATTAGTTTACTGACCTCAGCTAAATCGCAGCTGTTCTGGTTACATCATTTCAGGGAGTTGACCCATAAGAGTTTATATATATATCCTCTATCTCTCAACAACATACTGTCCATATAACTACATACTAACCAGAACTAAGTTACGTAAGGTAAGGTAGAAGTTGCAAAACTGTGAATAACACACCAAAGAAATTGGAAAACATTCACTTAGAGCTATTCTTATGTCAAAAAGCTTCCAACCTAATAACTATTGATAGGCATGGTTTAACTTATTCGATGGACTTAACACCAAGTGTGCGATACGCCGTTTTAAGATTCACTTCCAGAGAACTATTTCACTGGAAATTCTAAGAATGTATGTTAGATCTGATCAACAGATTTCAAACTCGACTAAAATAAACCAGAAAGTAAGTTGTCAACTAATGTACAATGTATAAATCACTAACAGCAATATAAATGCCTGATCGTAACTATATAACTTTGTTTCATACAGTAAATCAAACAAATCGAATAAAACAGGTAGTTGTCCTTTTTATGCACACACGGTAGATGAGCTCATTAGCGACATGCTTCAAGACGGATTTCCCCAAGTCCAGGTGAGAAATTATGACTTATGGAACAAACCAAGTTGGATGCCAGGACAAGTACTCATCGATTAGATTAGATGATGTTTGCGCTATATCATGAGTCAATAGAAGTAGCAAAATGTGGACCATGAGATTTCAGTGAATGGATTGAATGTTAACTTACTCTTCATCATGCTTGACAGTTCTAGACCCGATCGTCGGACAGGGTCGCGGGTGCACGTTTTCTAAGAGTTCTAGTCTATGACAAAACATATGTCCAGTTTTCCCAGGTTTTCAGTGACCCATTCATTCATGTCAATCAGCAATGAACACTACCTTGTTTACTGGATAGTTCCAAGCATAGAGCTGAAGTTTGCATTATATAATGGAGCTCTTTGTATCATCTCTGCTCGAGCAGTCGTTAAGAACTTATTACCTTCAGTCATATTTCCAAACCAGTTGAAACAGTCGTGATGGTATCTTAAGGAGAGACAGAATAGGTTTTTCTGAAAAAAACTGTATTTGGTTCTATAAAGTCAATGTAGAACTGCAAAAAGAAGAGGTAAGAATCACCTCTATTAAATGCTCCCATTATCGATCAATTGATAGCAGTATTGGTCCTGGTGACTGGCAGAGGAATCTAGGACTCGTAACTCGTCCTATTTAGGACTCGACAGCTGGATGTACCTGCACCCCAGTGAGTGATGTTGTTCCCACTCATCCTTAAACCCAGCACCATTCGCTTCAAACGCCAGAGCGTTATCCACTAAGCCACTAAGGCACGGTAGCCATCTCTTGTGCAATAACTTATAACAACTTACATGAATTTCGCGCAAAAAAGTAAATTTTTGAAATATTAATAAATCCAAGACTTTAAGGCAAATATATCTACATTCTACACTAGAAATGTTACTTCAGCTTCAGTGGAAAGAAAAGATCAATAAGATCTTCGCTGGTGGATTACTACGGTACTAGCAGACTCTTGAAAAACCAAGATATCGTCTTCTAACTATTTAAATTATTATACTGAGACAGGAATACCTCACTTTTCAACGGTTACCAAGGTGATCCTTACTTCCAACTACCACTCGTTACGTAAGGTATCACTACTATGCAGCAGATGCAAGAAATCACAGTCTTTCAACTAAAATTCCCAGTTTAAAAATATTTTAAATGTATATATTTCTCCTGATGGATGAAGTATATTCTAATAAATGCCATATATAACTACATTTGCGTACTTAGTGATGTAACTAATAAATCTGAATGAAATTCAATTTAATACAAATAATAGATAAATGAACAAGATGAAATGAAAAGCCATCTACTTACAATTCTGAAATACTGCCATTTTCATTTCGAATTACATTCTGAGATTCCTTTGGATGCTGGAGGGAATGTTTAGCATTTAACGCATGTCTACGGTAATCATAAATAAATGTAAGCGACCGTTTAGGTGAATTAAATAATTGAGAATGAGTAGACTGATAATTCCGAGTTAGTCTTCTAACAGTCACGGCTAAGGCATTACAACCTCTTAGATCTTTGAAAGAAATTTTAACTAAATCTTGTGCAGCTGATTGTACATCATCTGTAACATCCCCTTTAGTGTCATCACTATCCAGCGAGAGAAATAAAAGTTTATTTTCCAAAGTTAAACTAGAAAAATATTTTTGCCTGAATTTCATTCCCAAAACTTTCTCAAACACTGAGGCTTGAGATTTGGGAGCTGTTCCACTCGAATTCATAATAATTCGACAATCTCTAAGAGAATAAATTACATTGTAATATGCTAAATAAAACCTAAAGTTCTTATTGCAACAAGCTGATTTGTACCAAATTCAATAAGTAACCGATTCAATTAATTGCATTGGTAACCAATATGAATCAGTAAATTCTGTAGTTAAGGTTACAGTTCGGCCTTGAGCTAACCAATATAATTTATCTGGTGTGTAAATTAAAAAACAGACAACAAATAATGTATATGTGAAAATTTTCCGTGATATGGAAACGAATTTTGTGGATTACTTCTGTATTATAGCACAGTAACAAATTACGTGACTATTACAAGATATTCGATACACTACTTGTCTAAAAAAACGTGCTTGAAATGCAACCAATCAGTATCTATGATGTCAATACACAAGATTACCTTAGTACGCAAATTACACAACGAAAACAAGGATGTTTTCAAATAAAGAAGCGATAAAGATATTTATTACAAACTTTGTGTGTTCTAAAGTGTATTTCCGTCTTGTGTCAACCGATTACGTCCATGATTGCATCAGCACTCAGATTATTAACAAATATTTTAGCATCTTTTCTGAAGAACGTACTCAGGGTTTCATTGAGGTAGGAAGATGTCCAGACAAATCCAGAAGTGATTTCCGAAAAATCTGAAACTAGTTTAGAGATAATAAAAGATAAACTGTTCAATATCATTCATTGGTGCACCAAGTCTCAACCTGAAAGCCATTAGATGAAGACGTAATGTCACGTGGATGTGTTTACTATGCGGAATAAAAGCCATTTGTTTGCTTCTGAGAAAAAGCCAGACGTCAAAGATTCTGACTGTTATAATCCTATTGTTAAAAAAGCATGCATTACCAAATTGTTCGCATTATAAAAAGTGATTCACAATAATGTGTGGTTGACAAAGTCTCCTCCAGGTAGGCCAAACCACCAAGTACGCTAAAACACTAATCAGCCTGTCTGTAATGAAAGCTGATGATAAAAAGTGGATTCAGAATACTCTGAACCAACAATTCAGGCGTTAAGAGAGAGCATCTGAATAATTTTCCATGGCGTAACCGTTAATTTAGGCGTTGACTTTAGCTTTAGACAGAAATCAGGAGCTTTACCAAAAACCTCAGGCTTAGACAATAACAGAGCTAATAGTACTTCAAAATAACTTTTCCACAGATTGAAAGGATAGATTCATGAAACGGTGATGGTCCCTTATTGTGCCAGTCTAACAAAATATAATTATGAGGAAAGAAAGTAAAATGTCACATCTTCTTATAAAATGTTACTTTAACCTCGGTCATTTTCACGCACAAGAGTTTGTATGCAATCTTTTCTCTAATGAAGCTCCAAACAATGAATACTGACTATCAGATGATTTGAAAATACACTGTCTCAGAAAGACTTAAAAAATAGAGTACATTCATGATAAAATGGATACCAATTTCATGGTAGGCTGCATAGTGTTGCACAAAATATCCCCCAGCTTATCTGTATGAAGTAAGTAAGAGTTCCAAAGAACCCAGAGGTAACTGAAGAAAACATTTCATGCGCTCAAAGTCAACCAGTTTATGAGGTTTGACACTAAACTTTGCCTGTGTTCAGAAATTAACCTGAATGGCCTGCTCACTTTTGAGACAGAAAGACCAAATATAATAGTAATCGAATGCTGACTTAAAACCAGGATGAAAAAAGATGTAATGTCTCATCAAGATTCCTAATATTTGTATGGTTGATATTTACCACTTTTATACTTTAGATATGATCATGACAGTGTCCCGTAACTTCACTCTGATCTGTCTGTTCTTACAGTCTAAGAAAAGAGTTTTAAATTTTTATCTGTATGTAGCATGAGTAAATTTACTAGTTTATATGAAACATTCTTTTTTTCTGAAATGTGAAAATCTAGGATAGGGAGTTTGAAACTGCTTTAGAATCAAATCTGTTATTGATAGAAATGTCACTAACTGTTTCTATAATTTAACTCTTGAGTATTCAGAATTTCTGGTCATATTGACCAGGAATTCCTAATGACACCAAACAACTCTATGTCATTACTGTTCAATATCTTTAGACCTGAAGATTACGAACCTACAAATTGGTGTCAGTCATCTACTATGCAAGACAACTCCATAACTAAATGCTCATTTGTATGCTTGCTAAAAAGCAACACCCGTGTGAGGACTGTGATACACAGTGGCTACCTATATTCCAGAAGATGATGCGGATTTGAACGTCTAACTCACTCATTAAAACTTAAAAGCCTAATTCAGTAAGACGAAGCTTCAGTGAATCCAAGCGTAACAAACATCCATAGATGACGGAAAGACACTTCAAGTCTCCGAGAATAAGTTTTTGAATTCATGCGTCATGTACCAAATTGCAACAGAATTTCATGTTTTATCTGTTTTTGTTCAACATAGCCATTTTCTTGGTGACCCTGTAAGAAGTAGTACCAACTGATAGTTTTTGACACATTAAACTACAGTTGCCTGAACAATACTGCCCATGATCGTATAATATTCCAGCCTGGAAAATCACGAGACTCACATGAGAGTCAATCTCATACTCGCCCTATAGGCGTAAATGAATCAAATCACTTTTCCAAAAGTTGGTGCAATGAATATGCAGAAATCCTATTTGAAAAAAATCAACAGGCTGACTACAATTTTAGAACTGAAAAAGTAAAAGTCTTTCTACCTCAGAAATTTAGGATCTCTAAGAGATTAATGATGGATCCAACCATATTTTGGTTGTCAGTTGGGCAGTAAAAAGCGAAATTGTGATCTATAGTATCAAGTTATTAGATTGATGAATGATTATCTATCATTGCAAACTGCGATACAATATCTTTATATTTGACCAATGAATAGTTCGCTGTAGTATATATATTTCATCAATAGTTTCAGTGTCAAAACTCATTCAGAAACCTCCCATAAGATTCATCACTTTTGCTGTAACTTTTTACGATGATTACAAGTCTTCATATCTGATATAGCCACCATAAACCAAAAGTCTATATCGCGGCCTATCAATACTTTAACGTCTCGGTAAAAGACATGTGCTGGTGTAGATTCTGAATTTGATGTATGACTTGTAGGAATACCAAATATGATAGATTTTACATCGCACAGGAAATATTATTGAAAATCCGGTATTTTGTTTACTTAACTTAATGCTACGAAGTAGCCTAAATGGAAACCAACATCATTAGTCATCAGCCGCTAAGGTGGAACTTTCGGATTTCAACTTTTCTTTCATGTTACTGTGTGTTCGGGAAAAAACTTATTGGACAATTCATCCTACAGTTGATCAATAAAGATAAATATCCAACTTTTGACCTAGTGTTTTTATATATTTATGAAAATTGTGTGTAGAATAAAGTGTCTTCATTGCAGTCGTAGACCGATTACTGTCTTCTAATTTTTGCGGCTCAGTCAAGTATGAGGTTCTAAAGGAGTACAGTTGCCATTCGTATCCAGTCCAAGTGTGTCATCATGTTATTATCGCTTGCGTATTCATTATTACTCACTCAGACACCTCACTTAGGCTTCCAGTTTCTCTTTTTTTAAGTAATGTGAAATTAACCGCTTCAGCGGTCAGTGTCCGTAGACCATCCCTTGGTTTGAGTATTTATTTAAGCATTTCGACAGAGAAATTATTTCTGCTTAGTCATGTGCATGTTACCAGCCTTAATTGTGATCAGCAGTAAGCAACTTTTGAATATGCGGTCCTCAGTATCATTGACTGGACACCTTTCCAGACAGAACACGTACAGTTATGGTGCCTCCAAAGACTTGAGGAAATCTACATAAGAGTAAAAAATATAATTGTTACAGTAAGTGCCATACATGTTCTGTACACTACCAGCTTCTGTCGTAAGTGATAGGTAACTTCAGTTGTCATCATCATTCTAACCTAAAACACGAGCGTTCTTGATGCATAGTTGATGCTAGAAATTATAAAGTAACTGTATTTCAGAAAAGATTTGTAAACTATTCATTCGGTCCCCCTTACAGAAGTCACAATGACTACTACATTTCAATCCTCTTAACAGACCATAAACAGTTTTTCACATCAAGTTATAAAATCAGACTATATGAGAAAATGGCAACCAAAGAAATGAACATGGTTAGTAGTTGGAGAAAAAGAAATACACAAGAAGGAGTTGGTACAACTAATTGTTGGAATTAGTTTACAACTGACTTAATCTGATTATCAGCTTTTCATTCATATGCTGATAAGTGTCAAACGGTGATAATTCTCATAGCATTGTAAAAGAAGCAAACTAATATCTCTCATGATCTGTACTTTTATGATTGGCTATCACCTTTATTAAATCCTACACCCAGGCATATTGAAAGAATGGACAGCAACACTAGTTCATTTATTACTCGTTACAATATCTCCTTCTATTACCAAGACTACTTTGAAGTACTCTTTTCTTCATTCTCTGAATCAATCATTCACGTTGCCTCCCTTGAAAGCATTTTTATAGGTGTCCACCTAAAACAAGTTGTTCTGTGATTTCAGATGCTGTTGATTCTATGTTAGTGCTTGGCTTTTGAAGTAATCGGTCACTGGTCCGAGTCTTAATGAGAACAAAATCACTCATTGTGAGGTAGGTACATCCAACTGACGAGTACTAAATAGGAGGAAATGCGCAACCTGGATCCCACTGTTAGCCACTATCCATCGTTACTACGGTATTGGTTTATTTTAATTTTTTTAACCTACCAAACGATGAAAGTGACAGCAAGTTTACTATTACCGATAAATGTGCCATTTTTCAATTCCAGTGGAAAAAATGTGCAAATTTATCTTCAGCTAATGATCTTTCCACTTCAACTGAGGTGATATCATTAGTGCAGTAAAATTAAATATCAATAATTCGGTCAAGAAAGTTAAAAAGTCGCTTCAAGCACCTTCTCTTTAGCCTAAACTTTCATACCTCCATAAACAGATTAACCAAAATGAACTGTCTGCAACTAATGTACAGAAGAATACATTTGACTTCAAAA